CTAAACAAATCTGTGGGTGGATTTTGATGGGAGAGACAACAGAAGATGGATTTTTTCCCTGGAGGATTATAGACTAGTGTTTTTGCCAGAAGAAACTGTTTGAAGTTAAAAGCATCTTAATGCTAGATGTGTTTCAGCTTTTGTCTTCTCCAGATGTTAACTGATGGACTGGAGTGCTGTGGATTGCTTGTGGATTATTGTGATGTTTTTATCAGCTGTTTGGACTCTCATTCTGACGGCACCCATTCATTGCAGAGCATCCATTGCTGAGCAAGTGATGCAATGCTACATTTCTCCAAACCTGATGAAGAAACAAACTCATCTACATCTTGAATGGCCCGAGGATGAGTACATTTGAAGTAAATATTTTATTTTTGGGTGAACTCTTCCTTTAACATGCTGAAGCCAGTGAATCTGCTCTAATTGTCATTATTGGGAACCCTAAACATGCAAACGATGCATGATATAATTTGAACTGATTTAAGGACCAGATTCAGACGTTCCATTTGTTTCTTTGTCACCTAAAGCTGAAGCTTCCAGAAAGAAATAGCTGTAAATCAACAGCTGTATAATGGCTTTAATAAATGCTACACTGCTGAAACGGCGAGAATCTCCTCGAAAAAAGTAACTGGTACACATTGGAAGGCCTTTAACTAGGTCTGATTTGATGAACACAAAAATTTGTCCACATGATTTTTGGAGATGCCTGAGTGCTCTGGTCCATTTGGGGACTTTGGGTGTGTTTGCATTAAATGTCACTGGTCCGGCTTCCAAGAGCCAGATCCCCCAGCGTGGAGAAGAAGTCTTCCATTTCTTTCTCGAGGAGGCGATTGCGGTTTTCTGCGTCCTCACGGGCCCGTTCAGAGTTTCTCAGTTTGATCTCAAGCATTCGTTTTTTTTTTCTCTCCTGTTCCATCTCTTGCTGGAGTCTCTCCATCTGCGCGCACAGGACTGAACTCGACTCTTCCAGCCTGCAGAGAGCAGAACACAGAACACAGGTGTGTGAGTGCACAATACAGATATCACCGAGATATCACTGTTACTTATGCCAGGGCTTAGGGGGATGTTTGGGGAACGCAATTTGAGAGACCAAAAATATTAGAAATATAACATCTGTCAAATCTGTTTCATTTTGCTTTGTAAAGACAGGTCAGATTATTTTATGCTACTAATAGTAAAACAACAACAACATTATATTTGTACAACTAACATCATTCTAGTAGTGACTAAAAGAAAAAAAAACTATTATTAACAGAGGATGTCTGTTTTTTTTTTGTTTTTTTTAAGAGGACCCCCAAAATATTCAAAAAATAATTTGGAAAAAAGTACTAGTTTTTCTATAATATTTCTCATACAGTATAGATAAGATTATGTATATATACTGTATATTATATTTGATGATTCAGGGACCTCGCAAGGGGATCATATTATTTTGGTACAAATCGTGCTAAAAAAAATACAAATTACTTAATTAATCAATTCGGATTCAATTTATGTTAATTGAAAGGATTCAACAGTAAAACCCAAACCCTAATTCATCACCAAAATTTAAAAAGAATTTAAAAAGTACAGATTCTGGCAATAAATTATTTCTAGAGAAGCTCTACTTTCTATACCTTCTGCAATTATTAACAGTGGTTGTCTGTGATTTCTCAGAGGACCCATAAGTTATTCAAAAAAAATAATAAAAAATCCCATAAGTAATTTTCCAGTTTTTTTTTCTGAGCTTTTGGGGAGGAAAAAAAACCCCTGTTTGATTCAAATTAAAATCGTTAAATGTTGTCTTCATAATATGTCATATTGTCTTCATAGTATTTTTTAGCCATTGACTTCCATAGAATGGAAAAGAAAAATACTATGGAAGTGAATGGCTACCGTCAAGTTTTGGTTGCCAACATTCTTCAAAATATCTCAAAACTCATACAGGTTTGAACCCAGTGGCGGTTGAGTAAATGATGACAATTATAATTTTTTTTTTTGGTGTTAACTATCCCTTAAAGCACAGAAATTATTCTAAAATACAATCTATTTTCATATGTCTGAGAAACACCAATTTACCTGACCTATACTCAAAGAAACTTGTCCCATCCAAACAGAGCTTAAATATAGCTGTGATTTTTAAACAATTCAAAAAACCCTTGTCATTTAAAAAGCAGCAGCCTTACTTTTGAATTCTAGATTCGTAAGTCTGTTTCTGCTTCCTCAGCTCTTCTTTCAGGTCTTCCACGATGCTGGCCAGGGATGAAGGGCCTCCGTTTGCATCTGTGTCTTCGTCCACGACTCTAATGACCGGTGCTACGTTCCCATTGTCACTGCAAAACAATCCGCTCGCGCGGTTCTCCACAGCACTGCCGACGTCCTCTTCTTGTTCGCTGGGCTTTGCTTCCTCCTCGCTCCGTTCCTCCTGAGCGCTCGCCTCTGTCTGAGGCCCATCTTCTGTTCCTAACGGGTCTCTTCCAGAGTCTGGGACGAAGATCTCACACGATGAGGAGGACCACGGCGTGCTGTCCATACTCAGCACGCTGCCCAGACTCGATGAAGACGTGACGTTGTCGTAGGTAGACAGTCTCTGAGAGGAGCCCGAATCCCTGGAGCGTTCGCCGGACGAGGTGCGGCGGTGTCCCCTTAGCGAGGACAGCCCGTTCATGAGCCAGTTCCCGCTGGAGGCCGTGGACACGTCCACCGCGGAGCTACAGACTTTTGCGGACGGCGGCCTGGGAGAGGAGCCTTTGAAGGTGTACTTCCATCCTGGAAGCGCCTTGGCCTGCTTACTAGGGCTGACGGCTGTCTCTCCCTTTCCCTGAGGCACCGGCTTGGAGGTGATAGCGGCGTCCACAGACGAGGCACTGCTGCTGGTAGGGTTGTCATTCTTACAGGTCTGTAGATCCTCCTCAGAGATCCAGTCCACCAGCTTGGACTGCTGATGTTGTTGGCTTTGGTCCTTTACCTCCATCTGGTTCTGTGATGTTTCTGAGTCTTTTTCAGTATACAGGCGATCATGCTTGCTGATGAGAAGCGTCATGAGATGCTGAACAAGCGAGGTGCCTGGAAAACACACACACACACACACACACACACACATGTTGGTTTTTATGGTTTATGAGGACTCTCCATAGACGTAATGGTTTTTATACTGTTCAAACTGTATATTCTATTGCCCTACACCAACCCTACCCCTAAACATACCCCTCACAGGAAACTTTCTGCATTTTTTGATTTTCAAAAAAACTCATTCTGAATGATTTATAAGCCTTTTAAATTACGGGGACACTGAAAATGTCCTCGTAAATCACCTTCTCGTTGTAATACCTATGTCATACCCATGTCATTATACAAATTTGTGTCCTCATAAACCACATAAACACACACACACACACACACACACAATGCTGTATTCCCTCATGCTCATCTATAAGTGATGAATAAGTATTGGGTGGTGCACTAAAAAAAGTAGGTCTAGAAACAATTTTCACTCAGAAATCGCTAGTAAATTTCACAATTAATTACAAAGAAATGGCAAGTAAAACACTGAATTAAATGTGACATTTTAAGTAGAAAGACCGAAGTAATATTTTCTTGTAAAACAATAATCTTTGTATAATCTTAATAATCCAATAATCTTTGCTTTATTTACAACTTCAGAAAATATTTTTTTACAGCATGGAGAAACAGTTCTTACCCAGAAATTTCTAGTAAATTTCACAATTTTATTATTATTTTTTTTTACAAAAATCAGCAAATAACACATTGAATTATATGTGAAATTAATATTAGCAATATATATATTTACACTGTAGTTTGTAACTGTGCTTATTTTTGTTGCATCATTAGTTCTTAAGTCAGAACTTAATATTTTAAACTTAAATTATATTGGCATTCATTATAAATATCATTTATTGTAATCGGCAAGCCTAAACAAATGTATTTAAATGCACATTTCAGATGATCAAAAACACAATTTTTTTATTAAAATCCAAAGAGAAGCCTCCAAATTTGGTAACATAAATAATCATGAAATAAAACAATTAGTTTATTTAAATGTGCAAATAATATCAAAGAACTGTAGCTAAAATAAATAAACGAACACTAATACATAAAACATGAGCACATCTGGACATAAATGTAGTTTATATGTGGCATTATGTTTCAGATTCAAAATGTAATGGTACATGCTCAAATATAGTAGTGCATAGATCATAATTGCATTTATGCCACAAATATAGGCTGTTTTATTCACACCTGCTGCAACCGTCCCGCAGGTGTCTGGTTTTTAAGTGTGTTTATGTTTTACAAAGTAATGGGTTGGAAATTGGATAATAAGTGCTTACCTTCCATAATAGCTACTGGATCTTCCATTTTAGGACGGAGGATATTTGGTCCAAACACGGTGGCCAAGTTCAGCACACCCATTTTGTTTTCATTTGAGTGAGACTGCACCTCATCCAGAAATCTACAAAGATGGAGTTCACTTTAAGCAGCGAAGCATGGAAACGACTGACAAAAATGTGTCTGAAAATGATTATGTTGGACCTACTTGCATATATATTTCAGAAGGTTGTAATTGGCGGCTGGAAGGGTCGTCACTAGCTTCCCTAATTCTTGTATTCCCTGTGGAAGTCATTGAAGCGACTTAAGCATCTCGTGGTTCGAATTCAAGGGAAATATTGAAGTTTTTCACATTTAAAGAGAATCAGCCTTTTCTAAAAAAATCTGAAAAGACAGATTATGTGCATAATGTAATCTGGGAATTAAACTTTGACTTGAGCTTGACGCATCCTCGGCATCTGTGCATCGCCTCATGTCAGCTGTGAAATATGTGGGAGGAATATTGAAATATTGAGCACACAAACATACATTTTGACAACATAACTGCTGAAATATTATGCACTAATGCCAGTGAACAAACTCTCTTAAGTATACAGGCCAGAGCATTCATAGGATAATTCATTAAGCTTGTTCCAACACAGCAGCTGCGTTTTTTGGATTCGGTTTTATTGATTTTCAAAAACGGCAAATGTTCAAAAGTCTGTTCAGCACATCAGATGTGTTATTATTATTATAATAACTTAATATTATAAATTTGACAAGTTTGATGTTTGCAACCCTGTTTCATAAAGTTATATTAATATATACAGTATATATTGTTTTTTATACATTATTCATATACATATAGCAATGTTTATTTATAGAAATTAAAATCACAAAGAATGTGTTTAGACATATCGCAGTTTTTAAGATGAGTGCAAAAAGGGTTAAGGCAAACTAACTATCTTCTAATGAGTGACAACTTAACTTATAACTTAATGTTAACTATTCAGGTGTAGATTTGTTTCTTAATCTTATACATTTGGACAAGTTTTATGTTTGTAACCCTATGTTTAATAATATTTTATTAAAAAAATAATATATTTGATACATTATTCATATATATATATAGCAATGTTTATTGCAAAAAATTTAAAATACACTACATATA